TCTCCATGTCAGCGCGTGTGTGTGATCTCCATGTTAGTGTGTGTATGATCTCCATGTCAGTGTGTGTATGATCTCCATGTCAGCATGGGTGTGATCTCCATGTCAGTGTGTGTGTGGTCTCCATGTCAGCGTGTGTGGTCTCCATGTCAGCGTGTGTGTGGTCTCCATGTCAGTGTGTGTGATCTCCATGTCAGTGTGGGTGTGATCTCCATGTCAGCGTGTGTGTGATCTCCATGTCAGTGTGTGTGTGGTCTCCATGTCAGTGTGGGTGTGATCTCCATGTCAGCGTGTGTGTGTGACCTCCATGTCAGTGTGTGTGTGATCTCCATGTCAGCATGTGTGATCTCCATGTCAGCGTGTGTGGTCTCCATGTCAGTGTGTGTGGTCTCCATGTCAGCATGTGTGGTCTCCATGTCAGTGTGGGTGTGATCTCCATGTCAGTGTGTGTGATCTCCATGTCAGCGTGTGTGGTCTCCATGTCAGTGTGGGTGTGATCTCCATGTCAGTGTGTGTGGTCTCCATGTCAGCGTGTGTGGTCTCCATGTCAGTGTGTGTGTGGTCTCCATGTCAGTGTGGGTGTGATCTCCATGTCAGTGTGTGTGTGGTCTCCATGTCAGCGTGTGTGGTCTCCATGTCAGCGTGTGTGGTCTCCATGTCAGCGTGTGTGGTCTCCATGTCAGCGTGTGTGTGATCTCCATGTCAGTGTGTGTGTGGTCTCCATGTCAGCGTGTGTGTGATCTCCATGTCAGCGTGTGTGTGATCTCCATGTCAGTGTGTGTGTGGTCTCATGTCAGTGTGTGTATGGTCTCCATGTCAGCGTGTGTGGTCTCCATGTCAGTGTGTGTGATCTCCATGTCAGTGTGGGTGTGATCTCCATGTCAGCGTGTGTGTGTGACCTCCATGTCAGTGTGTGTGTGATCTCCATGTCAGTGTGTGTGGTCTCCATGTCAGCATGTGTGATCTCCATGTCAGCGTGTGTGGTCTCCATGTCAGTGTGGGTGTGATCTCCATGTCAGTGTGTGTGGTCTCCATGTCAGTGTGTGTGGTCTCCATGTCAGCGTGTGTGTGGTCTCCATGTCAGTGTGGGTGTGATCTCCATGTCAGTGTGTGTGGTCTCCATGTCAGCGTGTGTGGTCTCCATGTCAGCATGTGTGGTCTCCATGTCAGTGTGTGTGTGGTCTCCATGTTAGTGTGTGTGTGGTCTCCATGTCAGTGTGTGTGATCTCCATGTCAGCGTGTGTGATCTCCATGTCAGCGTGTGTGTGATCTCCATGTCAGCGTGTGTGATCTCCATGTCAGCGTGTGTGTGATCTCCATGTCAGCGTGTGTGTGGTCTCCATGTCAGTGTGTGTGTGGTCTGTGTCAGTGTGTGTGATCTCCATGTCAGCGTGTATGTTATGTGTGTCAGTGATCTCCGTGTTGGGGTGTGTGTGTGTGTGTGAGCTCCCTGTCAAAGTTGTTCCTGGAGGGGCCGGCACAACCTCTGCCCCCCCACCCCTGTAGAAGAGGCAGGGTCTCCCGGGTTCTGCCAGGCAGAGGGGCGGCGTGGGGCAGGGGAGGGGCTCCGGCCTCCCCTGGGCTGGGCCGGGTTCAGCTTTCCCTCACATCCTAGTGCTCGGGCGGCAAAGGCCGGGCCCCTCGGGCTTCCCGTGTCTGGGCCGTCCCAGGCGAGCGTGTGTGCAGTGGCTGCTGAGTGCTCAGTGTCCCAGGCTGGGGTCTGAGCCAGGCCTGTCAGCCCCTCCCTGTCCCCCAGTAGCTCGGAGCCCTCCAGGGCTGGGGCGCTCCCTCCCTGCGCTGGTGAGGCTGGCTCCTGGCCGTGACACTTAGCTGTGACACTCAACGCTCCCCAGTGTCTGCCAACTCGAGGCTGCAGGTTCCGGGAGCTTGAGCGTGTTTAGCGCGGGAAGCAGCTCGGCCCCGATCAAGGAGTGAGGACTGCTACGGAGGCTGCGATGGGGCCACACCCCACCTCACAGCACTCGAGGTGCCGCCCAGAGGTGTCACTGCCTCGGCCTGGGCCTCGAGACCTCACCCAGCCCTTCCGGGCCAGGCCTGGCCGGTTCCCGGCCCCCTGCCTCACCGCCATCTCTCTGGCCCTGTGACTCTGGAAATCATTCGTTCACTCATTCATTCGACAGGTATTTGCTGCACGCCAAGCACCGGGAATGCAGAGATGGAGACAGACACGGTCCCTCTCCTGCTTGCACGCCAAGGCGTCCCTGGATTAGTCTTCTCTCGATGCCGCGGTGTCCATTGGTCTCACAGCTGTGCATGTTTCCACACTCGGTTTACGTCCTCTTGGCCGGGAAGGGAGAAGGTGTTTTCACTGAGCACCTACCTCGAGCCGGGGCAGCAGCTCCTTCAACCTTCCCAACCATCACGAGAGGAGGGCACAGTTTCCCATTTCACGGATGAGAATATCGAGGCTTAGAAAGTACCGTATTTGGCCCCAGGAGGTCAGAGCTGAGATTCGATGCTGCGTTTTTCTCACCGCACAACCCTTGCCACGACCCCCCGCCTCTCACCAAAAGCAAAGAAAACAAGCCCAAACCCTTGGCTTCTTATTTGATCTTGGCGTCTTCATCACAGGCATGGGCATGCTTTCGTCTCTCGCTTTGCGAGTTTGGTTTTGGAAAACTGAAAGTAGCTCAGGGTCTCGGTCGCTGCCTTGCCGGTATCTTGGCATCTGCCTGGCCCTGGTTAGGGCCCTGCACCCCCAGCCTCCGCCCTGCTCCTGGCTGCTCCCCCCGTGCTGCCCACCCCCATTAGGTCCCCCTGCACGGTCCCGGCCCAGGGCCCCGAGGCCTGCTGTCCCCGCTCAGACCCCGGATCCCTGGCGGGAGTTTCCTGTCCTCATCACCATCGCTGCACTTTCCATGACACAAGAGGAAGTCAGCTGAGCCCTGGCTGGGTTTTCCACGCAGCCCGAGTGGGGGAGGGGTTGGTGAGCCCCCGGCCTGGTGTCAGAACCTCCTGGCCTCCGAGAGGGACAGGCGCCGGCCTGCGCCACACCAGGTACCCTTGGGCGGGGGTGCGTGTGTCTGTCGGCCCCCAGCGCTGTCCCAGCCCCTCCGGCCTCGTGACCCCCCAGGGTTTGCCTTCTTGGCAGGGGCAAAGGGGCCACAGGGGTTGTGGGGAAGGGGGAGGAGCTGAGGGTGGAGGGAGGGGTGGCGCGAGGAGGGGAAGGATGCTGAGCAGAGCGACTGGAGCTTAGTAGGGCCTCAGTATTTGTTCAGTGGATGGAGGAAGGTTCCCAAAGATGATGGGATGGCCTGGTGGTCGGATGAGAGGGCCGGGAAGAGTGTTGCAAGTGTTTGTTGAATGACTCAGTGACCTGAATCCTAGAGAACCTCTGCATGGCTGCCTGGGGGGGGTTCCCTGGGGGAGCAGCCTTTATAGCACTCCTCTCCCCACCCCTGTTCAGGAAGTGCACCCCCTCCCGCAGTCAGACCCTTGGTGGAGGGGAGGGAGGGGGAGAAAGAGGAATATAGGCTCCTGGCTCTAGCAAGGTTCTGGATAGTTCTGGATGGTTCTGGAAGGGTTCTGGACAGGCAGCTGACTGGCATGCAGGTGTGGTGGAGGGGTGCTGGCCTGGCAAGCACCTGCATTTGAGTCCTGCCTTTGCTGTGTGGCCCTGGGCGAGTCTGTCTCATGCTCTGGGCCTCAGTTGGCTCATGTGTAAAATGGGGAGATTGGCTCATGTGTAAAATGGGGAGATTGGATGTTCCTGAGCCAGTGTCCTTGTCCTGGGAACCCAGCACGAAGGTGGC